GAATATTACTCATAAAAACTCCAAAGTCCACCGTCCATAACTTTTAAGTACAAGAGACATAACAATTTACAATTTCAATCATTCAAATACCATTATCAGGAAATAAGCAGTAATAACCACTTTCCTAACAATTTGTTAACAGAACAGTAGAATCTGTTGCGGAATAAACTTTTTATATATGAACATTAAACATTATCCAATTTTTCCTCTCAAAAAGAGAACAATTAAATACAATTGCAAGTAAGTCAATTCTAAGGATTACAGTGCTAGAAAATTAATCTGCAAACTTTTCTCATTACAACTCCATAAAATGCGATGTTGCGGAATCGACATAAATATTTCGATCAAGCATTTTGGTATGCATCGGAACCTACCGAAAGAGAAACAATGCGAATTTCTCCGATCAGCTTTTTTTCAAACGAAAAATTTGTGGAAGATAATTTGCCACAGCACAAATTTCTTTGTTCTACAGTAAATTGCATTGTATTACAGGAAGAATGTCGATAAAATATTTCTAATCTGCGAAAATTAAATAACTGAAAAAGCTTTTATAAAATCGTTTATTTTAAAAATAATAAATAATAAAAAATGATTTGCTTGTTGGCGTATTCAATTTATTGAATCTATAAATATATCTAAGGAAAATCGTTGAGATATCATAATATTTAATTCCAATCCGGAAGCGTGAAAATTTTTTTCAAACAGATTTGCCATTTCTATTAATCAAACATAACATCCGGTACCGCGGAAAAAATATCAGTTATCATAATAACCTTAATGAAAGCAATATTTGCAATATTTATAATAAAAACGATATATGTATACTGCAATCAATAATAACATTGTAATAACAATAATAATAAGATAATAATAATAAAGTGGACAATGATTATTATAATAGTAGTACTTATCAGTTAATGAATAGATAGCAGTAGTTATCAATTAACGAATAATAGATAAATGATGGTCAAATTCAGCTATGGAAGAATGGTTCAGCCTTTAGTGATTATATTCGAAAATATTTCAGTTATGGATATGAGCTGCAGAAAGAGCTGACGTCCAATTTTAAAAATTTTAATAGTTTTTAACTATTATTATTAACTATTTTTAACAAAAATATTCTAAAATTTCTATTAACTAAAATTCTAAAATATTCCATAAATTTCTATTCTATTTCTAAAGTGATAAAAAAGCTTTGCACCTTGTTGTCCATGAATTTTGTGGTGCAGTTGAAATTCCCTTCGTATTTCCCTACATCAGACAAATAATAAATGATAAAATAAGTGATAAAATAAATAATAGTGCAATAATATATTTCAGTTATAAAATTTAGGCAAATAATTGAAAAAATTCGTTTGATTGTTTGGTTAATAATTATTTCCTGTCGAAACATACAAAAGAGTTATATATAAAAAATAAATAATATAAAAAGATAAGCAAAAATGCCAAATAGTTTATTTGAATTAGCTATAGCCACAGTTCGCTATGTATTTCATTTTTTTCTCCTTCTTATTTTTTGTTTATTGCGTGAACGCTGCTGATAATCCTATCACTGTATGCAACAAAGAAGTTCAGCCACCAGCACAACCCGCACAAGTTGGAGGAGGGGCAATGGTTGGAAACCCACAACCAGCACAACCTCCACTTGTACAACGCCCAACCGTTGACCCTAACCTGTGCACTGATCTCGATCCAGATGCATGCCCAGTCATATTTACGGCCGAAGCCAATACGCTTCAAGATCAACGTGATCCGTAATAAAACTTTTTAAAATTACTCTAGGAAAGTGGAAATTATTGTTTATATAGCACAGAAAAATTTTTTATCCTAATACATCCTTAGAGGAGAGAAAAAGAAAATCAACAAAATGAATGAACTAAAAACTTTGCTTCAATATTTCTAAGAAAATGCCTCATTTCAGTACAAAAAACTATAAAGTAAACGAAAAATGCCAAATGCCAATTTATATGCGTTTAGCCGAACAATTATGTCCACACACGTGCGCAATGTGTTGCAAAACAAGAAAGTTCAACTGCAGAGATGGTTTTGATGGCCTTTTTTAAATATTTTCAAAACTACATTACAAATTAAGTTAAAAAACCTTTAATATACTAATGCTGAATTTTCAGTTGCACAATGCGAAAATTTCTCGCAAGAAATGTGCAGAATGCCTTCTCTCGGTAAAATAGCATTAGAATTTTGCCCACATACATGTGGACTTTGCGATTTGCCTGGTGCTGGCGGTGAATGTCCGGACAGTATTGATGGATGCGAAAGTTTAAGGGGATTTTGCCAACTTGACTCGATTAGAAATATTTGCCAGAGAACGTGTATTTCACGCGCTTGTCTTCAAAATCTGACATGTGAGTTGCAAAAATATTTTTATTGCTTTACTTGTACTTCATATATACACATAGTTACACCTATTTGCCGTTATGATTCAAGGGAATAACAAAAAAATAGATAGTGAAACTAACTGTAGTTTGCTGTAGTGGGAATTTGCTGTAACATTTTTCTCCATAAATTAAACTGAACACAAATTATACTCGATTAAATCTGCTGAATTCAATTTTCAGCTTCACAGTCCAGTGGCTGCGCTGATGCACACGTTGACTGCCCGTTATATCGCCATCTTTGCAGCATCGGTGATTATGGAATTGTGATGAGAACACAATGTAGGCGAACTTGTCGCCATTGCTAATCGGCATACAATTTTTGCCTATTATATATTCTCTCAAAAAAAGCAAATATAGTATTTAATAAATATTGTAACTATTGCATTGTCAAATAATATTGCTATTTCTATCAATTGTATTATCAAATAATATCTTTAAACTAACTGAAATTTTAAGCTATCCGATACAAAAGATTCTTATTTGCATTTCACTCACCTACATTGAGCGTACACTGAGTGATTCGCTCGATTTTGCTATATGACTCTGAGGCGTGCCCGCTGAGCGTGGATGGTATTAAAAAGTTGTCTATCTTCGATCACCCTTGTCTAAAGTTCATTTTACGGGTCCGTCGAGCGGTTAAAATATCACACGATCGCATCCATCTTCATTCGAATACCATTTAATAATGTTATTACAGAGCGTCGCCTTCGATGCTTAGGACACGATCATTGTTGTCCACCACAGGAATTATCACAAATTCACTCATTAAATCGTATGGCCCATGGCGTTAAAAGCCAAGAGGGCTAATCAAGACCTGAACCGATGTGGTCAGAAAAGATTTTGAAAGTGTACATGGAACAGCAATATATGAATTTAGACGATGGAAAAAGGAATGGCTTCTATTACTATCAACGATGGCATCAGACCAGACCGCGTCCTTTGGAAGCGTCTTACCTTTGTAGCCATTCGAGCAAGCCTAACCACTAATGGTGAGAACTGTTAGAAGAACTGCTGTTAAAAGAATTAAGTGTTATAGGAATCGTGAAAATATTCATATGAGCAAATATATCGAGTTCATTTTCCGAAAATTGTTATATTTTTCCACTGATAAGAAATCGACAAATGCGTGAAAATAAACTTCGACAAATGAGCGAAATAATAATACTTAATAACTTTTCGATGATTTATAAAAATTAACGCTATCCAATTGCGAAAACGACAGATTTATTCGAAAAATTCTAAAAAATAATTTCCTTTTTATAAAAAGATAAACTTTAGAAATCACTAAAAGTCGGTTCATGCATAAACCTTTCCTTAATTTTTTTGGTGGAGCTATCATTGGTAAATATCGAATGAATTGAATTAAGTAATATTGAATTAAAAGAAATGATAAGGAGGAAGAAAGGCAGAGATTTACAACTGATTTGCAACAACTGATAACGTAATATTTTAGCTCATCCATAGACAATTCGCCTCGTTCATTGTGTTGTTCATTTGGATGGAGACTTGTTTTATTCTCTAGGGAACGGTGATATATGGCTATTGGATCTACTCCAGGCTGATCAGGTGTCCAAAGAAAAGGCGAATGCAGGCATGTGAATCGTCCTGTAATATTAGACAGTTTAAAAATATGGAAATTAAATTTTTTAAAATTCCAGTAATTGCTAAATGCTTTCCTATGTTAAAACTTCAGTCTTTACTGATTTACCCTTAAAATTTCTGGAAAAAATAGCTGTCACGAGAATTACTCTCACGAGAATTAGACGTGGTGTATTGGTGTAATTTTTCGACACCTGATCAGTTTTATAAATTTTTATAGATTCTAAAATATTTTTGAAATGCAACATATTTGCGGTGATATAATGACATTGTGTGGTGACAAATAAATCGCTTTTTTACATAATAAATAACTGATAAGAAAAATTAAGAAATAGGCTCAATTTTGACTAAAAAATCATTGAGCTTTTCCAATATTGCCATTAACAAAATAATTTGGTTTATTAAATTTGAAAATTTTCTATTGTATTTACCTGGAAAATTTCACAAAATAGCACATCAGCACCTTTTGCAACATCGGTGATTACGGAATTGTGATGAGAACACAATGTAGGCGAACTTGTGCACACCATTGTATTCCTTAGATATAGATTTTCCATAAAAAAATGTTTTATGTTTTCCGTCTAATAAATATTGAAAAAAATTATCATTATTAGTATTGAATGCATCAATAACGTATTGAATTTACTGATGAGAATTTTAACAAAATAGTGGGAAAACTTAGTGATATCTCTTCCCCATATATTCTGTTAGTCCAACGCCTTTGGTCGATTTGATTTATTGCAGTAGCGATTTTGATTTTACCCTGGCATATTTGTCCAATGCGATAAGCCAGCTAAGAGAGTTTAACCAGTAATGGTGAGGGTTCTTTAAAAAACAATAATTGCAGTTGGAAATTTTTCGAAAGTTCCTTTAATATAATTAGCGCAATATTGCAGTTATTTCAATTAATAATTTAAAATATTTATAGAAATAAATTGTAAATTAAAAAGAATCAGTTTATAACACATGAAACACAATTTCAACTGGTTTTGGCGTTCATAGCTCAATTTAAAGATTATTATAATTTCTGAATAAATTTCTTAAGATTTATCCGGCAAAAATATTTTCCAAAAAAAATTTGATAAATTTACATTATGTGTTATTGCGCCGAAAGTTTTTTGCTAAAAAAATACTAAGATATGCTTTCGAGGAAATTAGCAAAATTTAATATTGTTGTGGAAACACGAAATAATAATTTTCTTTCGCTTAAACTGTTACGAATCTTAAAGCGATAGTTGTTGGCCAATGAAGAGAATTTTTTTATTTCTATTATAGCGGGTTTTTCTAATATTTTAATATATGGGCTGGAGGTGAATTGGTTGCAAGAGATTTATTGGTTTCTGGTTAGCTATTTTAATTAATAGCTTTTTTTCAATTGTGGAAACGCTATCCAAGTTTTTTGAATTTTTTCTCCGATATTGCAAGCAAATATACTTTAAATAACAATAATATCTGTTAAAAGATTTTTTTCAATGAGATTCACCATAAAAGATTGAAGAATTATTTTATTACATTTTTTCGAAGTGTTTCTGTGATTAATTGCCATCGCGATTGCCATTATTCACTTAGAATTGTTAGGAGAAAATTGCAATACAAGGCACGGCATTGAAGAAAATAATGTATCGTGCTAAATATCACTAAGCACAATACGTGAAATAGGTTATTTGAAAAAGGCAAATGGTATTAATGCTGTTAATAAATTTCCTGCATACCGGCGGGGATTACCTGTGGAACAAGATCGGTTCTCACGAGAATTATATTTGGTGTATTATGTTCAATGGATATGCAATAAACAAATCATGTGATCCACCTTCCTTGGTGGCTTTCACCAAGTGGCTTTTCTTAATATTCTAATAGTTCATTGTTTCTCGATTCCAATAATTATACGAAAGGCAGAAACCGAAATCATCACAAAATCTCTTCGAACCTTTAATTACTGCTTTTTCTTTCTTAAGGTACTATTTTCATTTTTTTTCGTATAAATAGTTTGATTGCGTAAATAGCCAGGTAAATACAATAGAAAATATTTAAATTTAATAAACCAAATTATTTTATTAATGGCAATAGTGGAGATGCTCAATGCATTTTTCGTTCAAAATTGAGCCTATTTCTTATCATTAATTATGTAAAAAAGCGATTTATTTGTCACCACACAATGTCATCATATCACCGCAAAATGTTGCATTTTAAAAATATTTTAAAAACTATAAAATTTGCAATTCTTTTCATTCTTCTATTATAATGCATTTAATAAAATTATTAATAATAATATTATTTGCATTTACGATATTTAATAGGCAGAAGATGAAAAAGGAATTTTTGCCAGAATATCCTATAAGCAATAGCTTTATTACGATCAGTAATGACCACAGGTTCGCCTACATTTCATTATAATTCATAATCACCGATGTTGCAAAGATATCGATGTAACGTGGAGTTAACAAGTGCCTCAATGCAAGCACCGGTTGAGAAGGTGCTGCTCTATCTAATATGATAGAAGAATATAGGAGAATATAACCAATGTAACCAGCTTAAGCGACTGGCTGTGACTTAGGTGAGAATTACCTCTTGCGAAAATAGTCGAAAGGAAATAATATTTTATTTTTGCTGGCGAAGTCAGCCTAAAGTCAGCCTAGTAATGGTATGGAAAAAAACATTGCACCGATGCTGCCAATCCAGGAAGCTTTTCATGAATATCAATAATTACTGCAATAAAAATTCTCCAAATATATAATAAATATATATATTTTCATGCAATATTAAAAAAACAAAAACAATTTTTACAATAGCGATGATAATTGAAATTTATAATAATCGCCTTCATAGTTCAAAGAAATTTATAAACGATAAAATAAATGTAACAAATAATGGAAATTTTGAAAAACGAATGAAATAAAAAGGAATGAAATTTTTTATCAAATTTCATAAATCAAAGGATTGAACAAACAAATCAATTCAAGCAATATTATCAGCAATAATATAATATTGAATATTATCACTATGTTTATCAAAAATTAACCGTCAGAATAAACAGAAAAACAGCATAAAAATATAACTGAAGGAACGAAGCTGATTATTTGTAATTAATTATAAAAAGTGGCGGCTCATAATGAATTTCGTTTATCTGCCTCTATTTCTTACGTAAACGTTGGCGGCGATGTGGCAATTAATGTATGCAACAGACCATTTCCGCAACAAGAAGCAGCACCTCCAGGACTTGGAGTCGCAGGTTAGCCTCAAGCATCAAACCAATGTACAGCCCAACCGTCGATCCAAATCTGTCTTTCGACCTGGATTCAGCGTGTTCAGCCATAATTGAGTTTGCAAAACCAGCAAACACAATCAGAGACCAAAATCATTCGTAAAAAAATTAAGCGATCGTTTAAATAAGTTGATTTCCTTCGCATATTTTTAAAAAGCCCATTGAATTGGATTTTTTAAATAAAAAAATAATCAATATTATGTACTAATAAAAAATGATGGATGATGCATAATAAAAATTGACTTAATTCTATAGAAATGCTTTATTTTAGTTCAAAGGGCTATAAAGTAAGCGCAAATTGTCAAAATGCAATTTTTATGCGCATAGCCGAACAATTGTGTCGTCGCACATGCGCGACGTGCTGTAAAACAAGAAAGTTCAACTGCCGAAATGGTTTTTACTTCCTTAAATGTTTTTAAAACAACTTCCAATTTGTACTGGAAT